GGCATACCAGGCAGGCCAAGGCCAGATCACAGAGATCTTAAAATCTTCAGGCTTAGATTTTATCCTGCTAACCAGAATTTTTTATTTTGTTGATTTTTCACAAACCAGAATTTTTTAAATTGTGCTCCGCAATGACCCCTAAATGAAATCAGATAGGGGAAGGGAAGGAGTCCTTAATGCACTGGGCTCACTTCCTCCCAAAAGAGAGCAGCTTCCTGATTATTTATACTTTTGGGTAAGAATTTAATGTGAAGAAAGGATTCATTTTTCAAAAATGTTTGAAAGGCACGGCTGTAGGTCATGAAGAATCACTGAAAGATTGAAATAATGTGCATTTGAGATCATTCAGGCAGAAGGACAGTAAAAGTAAAGGCCAAAGACCAGGTAAAAGGCCACTTCAACAGCCCAAGCAAGTGAAGTTGGGTACCGGAATGATGGCAGGGTAGCAGGGCCAAACATGAGGAGGCAGCCACAAGAGAGATTACCAGGTAGAACAGACAGTACATGGTGAGTGGATGTGTGCAGGGGATTGTGGGGGCAGGGATGGACGAGAGGAAGAGGATAGGCTCCCAGATTTCTTCCTTGGGCCACTGCATGAATGATGGCATCATCACAGGAGGAGAAAAAAGAAGAAATTGTGTTTGGCTGATAGTTACAGAGACCTGACTGCAGTGGCTTCAACACAAGAGTTTGTTCTCATGTAAAAGAAGCCGAGAGGAAGGTGGCTCCTGGCAATGGTTGAGACCCAAGAATAGCATGGCAAGAGCTGTGCAATTCTTGTGGCCTTTCTTTCCCAGTCCCAGGATGGCTGCTGGTGCTCCAATGATCAAGTCCATTTTCCAAAATAGCACGAAGAAATAAGAGAAGAAAAGGTTTTCCTTGGAAGCCCCACCCAACAATTTCTACTTCCATCCTTTTTACTTGGCAAAAGCTAAGTCACATTCAGAATATTAGAGGGTTTTTTGGGGGTGGAGACTGGAATATGTACTAACTTTATAGACTCTAGTATTTAGGAGGGTAAGAGAGATTTGGAGTGGTGCTGAGTGAACCAATCTGCAATATCTTCCACATTAGAGAAATAATGAGTTTGGCCTTAGTCATGTTGGATCTGAGGTAGAACATCAGGTGAGGAGGTAGAGTAGGCAGATGTACAGTTCTAGGCACAGGAGAAAATCGTGGGTAAATCTAGATTTTGTGAGTCCTCAGCATATAAACGTAACTGATGCCACAAAAGTGAGAATGTCCAAGGACAGTATAAAGAGAGAGAGGAGAAAATCAAGGTCAGAGCCCTGGGGAAGACCAACATTTAAGGGGCAGGAAGAAGAATACAGAAGACCTATAAAGCCAAAGAAGTAGAATCTCCACCAGAGCAATTTCACAGAAATCAAGGAAGGAGACAGCATCAAGGGAGGCACAAGCAATAAAGATACAGACAGAAACTCACCCACTGATTTGTAACTGGGGGAGTGCTAGATAAGGGAAAGAGAGTACTAGGGAACAATGTCAAAGGAGTCCATCCAGTGTGGCTCAGTGGTTGAATGTTGACCTATGAACCAGGAGGTCACGGTTAGACTCCCAGTCAGGGCACATGCCTGGGTTGCGGGCTCAATCCCCAATGGGGGGCCTGCAGGTGGCAGCCAATCAATGATTCTTTGTCATCATTGATGTTTTTATCTCTCTCCCCCTATCCCTTCCTCTCTGAAATCTATATATATTAACAACACTGTCAAAGGAGAGGTACTTTAGAATAGAGAGACTTGAAGGTGGAAAGTGATGGGTTCCTCCGGGGCCTGTGTTGGACAAACTGCTATATCTTCAGTAACTGGCACACTCAGTTGGCTACAGAAGAGGAAGGGTAAAGAGCAGACTGAAATTCCACTCTGACCAGTTGGGACGCACATTAGACTGGCCATGATTAGAGCGGGAACAATATCAACCAAGGGGGAAATATACCATGCCTTGTTGGTAAACTCTAAAAACTCTGTGACCCAACAGTCATTTGGCCAGAGGCCACAAGCCTGAACAGCACCCAACACTAAGGCTGGGACTGAAGCTGGCTCACTTCCAGGATCAGGCTGATTACATTCCAAGGATTCTACTTCGGCCTAGGGCCACGCACTTTCCTGGCGCAGAACTGAGGGCATCTGCCTTATAATGTCACAGGAGTCTGTGGCCTAGTTGTGTTATTAGATTACTTCCTGAATTAACTGAATAATAGAAATTCTTTAAATATATATAATATATAATACTACTATATAGTAATGTATAATTATAATATATTATATTACATATGTAATGTTATATAAATATATCATTAATAATTTATTCATTCTTAAGATAGTTAATAATTTTCAAAATCAGAAACCTAAATAAAGATTAATGGAGGGCCGTAACTGGTTTGGCTCAGTGGATAGAGCATCAGCCTGCGGACTGAAAGGTCCCAGGTTCGATTCCGGTCAAGGGCATGTGCCTTGGTTGCGGGCACATCCCCGGTGGGGTGTGCGGGAGGCAGCTGATCGATGTTTCTGGCTCTCTAGCCCTCTCCCTTCCTCTCTGTAAAAAATCAATAAAAAATATATTTAAAAAAAAAGATTAATGGAGGGAGAAAAAGCACAAGAGAATGGATTAGCTTTAGATAGGGCATGTTACTTATAAACCTTTCTATGTACCATATGAAGTGTTTCCCCACTATTTCCTGGAGGGCCTCCCTTTGTGACTATCATAAGTTTTATTATAATTTGTGGCCCTGGTTGTATCTTGAATCTGACCAAAATTTTCTTCAACTGCACAGTTCTGGAAACCCAGTTGTCACAGTGGTGCTTGATGCTTGATTTGCTACTGAATGTCACCTAGCAGTGGTTTCTAACTTTTTTCATTAGTGCGGGCTGATAATAGTTTGGTTTCTTAAATAAACATAGCTAGATGCCAGCCTGTAGTTTTTTCTAGTTCAACACTAGAACTTAAGCTCCATAGGGCAGGGTTCTTTGCTTGTCTACTGGTTGTACTGGGTTGGATAATGCCCCTTCAGAAACCTCAGAATATGGCCTTATTTGAAAAGAGGGTGTTGCAGATATAATTAGTTAAGATGAGGTCATGTAGATGAATAGAATGTGCCCTTAATCCAATGTGATTGGTGTCCTTATAAGAGAAGAAACATAGGGACAGAGGCACACAAAAAAGCCATATGATGATGCAGACAGATATGAGAGTGATGCATTTACAAGCCAAGAAATGAGAAGTATGGCTAGCAAACACCAGAAGCTAGGAAGGGGCAAGGAAGAATCCTCCCCTAGAACCTTCTGAGAGAGCATGGCTCTGCTGACACCTTAATTTTAGACTTCTAGCCTCCAGAACTGTGAGACAATGCATTTCTGTGGTTTGAAGCTATCCAGTTTAGCACATTAATATACCAGGATATCCCGGGTTTCTATGTTAGCACCTGGCACATGGTAGAAGATCAATAAATGAAATATTTGCTGAACAAAATGATGGACTTTTTAATTCCCTAAGATTGACCTCTCGGTGGCATCGGGCACCTGTTGATGACCACCCTCTCTCCCTACACACACTTGAAACTCTGTCCTCTCCTGTTTTCCACATCATCAGGTTCTTCTGGTTGTGTTCCAATGATGATGTCTGCTTTTTAAATGTCAGTGTTTCCCCGGATTGTACCTTCAGCCCTCCCTTCTTCGTGCTCCACAATCTTTCTATGTAATTTGATCCCTCCCCAAATTTCAATTCCCCATATATATCAAGGACTCCCATACTTAAAACAGATCTAACCATGTCACTTCTCTGCTTAAAAAAGGAGATGGTGCTCAGCTGGCATGGCTCAGTGATTGAGCGTTGACCTATGAACAGGAGGTCACGGTTTGATTCCTGGTCAGGGCACATGCCTGGGTTACAGGCTCGGTCCCCCGTAGAGGGTGTGCAGGAGGCAACCAATCAATGATTCTCTCTCATCATTGATGCTTCTATCTCTCTCTCCCTCTCCGTACCTCTCTGAAGTCAATACAAATATATATTTTTTAAATAAAATATAAAAAAGGAGATGGTTGCCCTAGCCGGTTTGGCTCAGTGGATAGAGCGCCGGCCTGCGGACTGAAGGGTCCTGGGTTCGATTCCGGTCAAGGACATGTACCTTGGTTGCAGGCACATCCCCAGTAGGTAGTGTGCAGGAGGCAACTGATCGATGTTTCTCTCTCATTGATGTTTCTAACTCTCTATCCCTCTCCATAAAAAAAATCAATAAAATATATTATTTTAAAAAAAGGAGATGGTTATTGCCTGCAGATAAGGTCCAAACTTGTCTGCTTCAGCATTTTATTGTCCTCACCCCAGGAGGCATGAACTCCTTCCTGTAGAGTGACCTAGGCTCTAGACACAAAGGACTACTCAGATTTTCCAAGCACACATATTTGATGCTTTTTTTAATTTGATGCTTTTAATGCTTCCATATTCCCTCCATTTGGAATGTTCCTCATTTACCTCATCTACTTTGTAAAATCCTAGTTCAAGGCCAAACACAAATGCCACTATCTATTTCTACCTTTCCTGACCACCATTCAGGCAGGATGAGCCACTCCTATGTGTTTTTCTGTGGCCCTTTGTTCACCATACCAATATTTTATCATATCACAATAGGTAGCCTATTTCCTTGCTGAGCCATGAGCTCTTTACTGGTTAGGATGGTACTTGATTAATCCTCATAGACGCAGTCCTTAGATCAGTGCCTGCACACAGTATGCTCCAAGAGATTACAGGTTAAATGAATTCATTCTACTTTCAAAAAAATATATACAGCTCTCAAATGGCGAAAGAATCACATCTCAGCACCATTTCAACAAAACACAATAGAGCTGCTGCTGCATTAACAGAAATTAGAGATCTACCACAAACATCAATGTATTGGGTTCAACGCTAGATGAGGTATTTATAGTCCTCAGACCTAGACCCCAACACAATAAGGAAATCCTAGACAGAGAACATTGACCTCTTACCTGCGAAGATACATAGTTTCCTCGTCTTCTGTGTTACAAAACTTGTGGGCATGTTTGGCAGCATCAATAACCCGGGACCTATCCCGGGGCCTCATGGGCAATTTCTCCAGCTGACAGTCTGAAGTAATGAAGAAAGATTTGGTCACTAGAGTCACTGGAAAATACCCTGAGGCAATCAGAAGTTTTCAGTGTAATTTTTACTATAATTACTATGCTTATTGAAGCCTATTATTGAATTTTCAAACTAAAAATGACTTGGTATCAGGAGACCTGGATTTCAGTCCCTGTGCTGTTACTACCCTGGTGATCTTTGGCAGGTCACTTCTTTTTGGGGTCTTCTACTTTATTTGAAGGATGAATACATTGTATTATCTCAAAAGTCTTTCCCAGCACTACAATTCAAGTTTTCTGATATTTCTGTGATTCAAGCATCATGGTACAGTTGGTTTGTGTTATAATGCATTAGAATCAGAAGAAATAATCAAGCATACTCCAATGCCTATGAGGAAAGCATTGGGAAAAGTGGGTAAGGGCTTAGAAAAGGATAGAGAGGGTCGGTGGTATGCTATATATAGTATGCAAATGACCCAGCCCAGTTAGGGAAGTTTTAATACAAAAACACACAGTAAATAAATTATGTACAGTTATAAAGCAGATGGAAAATTGATATAATGCCAATTAAGTACCTAAAGGATCACAGAGAAGTCAAGTGATCAGAGTGAATTGAGATTAACAGAGGAGGTGGAGAGGGCAGTGAGAGATCACCAGGCAGTTTGCACGATAGCTCATTGCTATTCACATTGACCTGTAAGAGTAGATATTTAGTATTCCTAGTTTAAAGATGAGGAACTTGAGCCTGGCCAGTGTTACTCAGTGGTTGAGTGTCGACCTATGAACTAGGAGGTCATGATTCTATTCCCAGTCAGGGCACATGCCCGGGTTACAGGCTCGACCCCCAATAGGGACCGTGCAGGAGGCAGCCCATCTCGCTCATCACTGATGTTTCCGTCTCTCTCCCTCTCCCTTCCTCTCTGAAATCAATAAAAATGTATTTTTAAAAAATAAGAAGATGAGGGACTTGAGGTTTAGAAAGGATAAGAGATATGCCACATATTTAATAAGAGAATTCATTTATTCAATAAATATGTGAGGTTCCTCCATATACTCAGGCACAGTTCCAACACTGTGCTGGAGATTCAGTAAAGAGCAAAGCAGACAAAGTGCCTCACTTGATTAATTTAGTCTAGTGGAGGAGGCAGAAAACTTAAAAATAATAATTATATAATATGATCTTGGAGAATAAGTGCTAATAAAAAATTTAGACAGAATATTAAGAGGAGGAACAGTGATCTCAGAAAGTATTAAGTTCTACCAAGAAAAATCAGGCAGGGTAAGAGGACAAAGGGTGACAGGGGTGCTATTTTACATAAGGTAGCCAGAGAAAAGTTTTCTAAGAAAGCGACATTTTAGCAGAGACCTGAATAAAGTAAGGAAGCACTGAGGGAAGAGGGGTGGAGACAGGCTAAATACCAATCCCAAAGGCCCTGCCTGGGGGCAGGAACATTTTGACATGACGCAGAAACATCACTGTGGTTGGAGTGCAGTGAGCAAGGGGAAGAATGTTATGAGATGAAATCTGAGAGGTAGCTGTGGGTCTGATCGTGCATGGTCTTTGAATGGACTTTGGTTTTATTCTCAGTGCTATAGGGAAACACCGGTTTGAAACAGGACTCTGGCTGCTGTGTAGAAAATACACCACTGGGGACAAAGTAGAGAGCAAGAGACTAATGTAGCAATCCAGGTGAGGGATGATGGTGGCTTGGACTTCAGTGGTAGAAATGGAGGTGATAAGTAGTCAGATTCTAGATAGCTTTTCAAGGAAGCACCTGCCGAATTTGTTGATGAACTGGATGGGTGTAAGGTATAAGAAAGGGAGAATTCGTCTCTCTGCTCCTCCTATTCACCAGACGGCCATGTCTTCCTGCACAGTGCCAGCCACAACCCTGAGACTTGATGGTGGAGGTCAGAATGAACAGATTTGGCCGTACTGGATACCTGGTCAGAAGCACTGTTTTTAACTCTGGCATAGTGGATATTGTCCCCATCAATGACACCTTCATTGACCTCCAACAACATGGTCTACATGCTCTTAATTCTATTTTATGGCAAGTTCAAAAGGCACAGTCAAAGGCTGAGAATGGGAAGCTTGTCATCAATGGGGAAGTCCCCTCTCCATCTTCTTAGGGGACAAAGATCCTGCCAACATCAAAAAGGGGTAATGCTAGAATTGGTGCCCTCTGCTCTTTTCTTTCCACACATTGCAGGGACACCCTTTCCAGGCTCTCCGCTCAGAAATAAGAAGGTATCTTGCATCCTAATGGGCAACAGACACAGGCCTGCGGGTATGGAGACTGCCCCTGAGCCGGCTCCTTCTGCCTCACCTGATTTGAAGCTGGCTCAGGGGCAGTCTCCATACCCGACCCCTAATGTGTCAGTTGTGGATCTGAGCTGCCATCTGGAGAAAGCTGCCAAATATGATGATATCAAAAAGGTATCATCAGAGAGCATTATGCTAAGTGAAATAAGTCAGTCAGAGAAAGATAAATATCATGCTCTCACTCATTTGTGGATTATAATGAACAACATAAACCGATGAACAAAAACAGATGTAGAGACAGAGAAGCATCGATCAGATGCTCAAACCTCAGAGGGAAGGTAGGGGAGGGTGGGGGTGAGGGGGAGAGATCAACCAAAGGACTTGTATGCATGCATATAAGCATAAGCGATGGATGTGGACAACAGGGGGTGAGGGTGAGGGCAGGATTGGGGGGGAAGAGAGGACATTGGGGGGGGATAAGGGACACATTTAAGTATTTATCTTTTTCTTAAAAAATATATTTTTATTGATTTTTTTTACAGGGGAGGGAAGGGGAGAGAGAAAAGAGAGTTAGAAACCATCCGATGGAGGCCCTAAACCGGGTTTGGCTTCCCCCCCCCCGGCCTAAAAAGGTTCCCAAGGTTTGGTTTTTGCCCAAGGGGCATTTTTTTCTCTTGGTTGCAGGCACATCCCCAGTAGGGGGTGTGCAGGAGGCAGCTGATCAATGTTTCTCTCTCATTGATGTTTCAAACTCTCTATCCCTCTCCCTTCCTCTCTATAAAAAAAATCAATAAAGTATATTTTTTTTAAAAAAAAAAAGAAGAAAGAAAGAAATATCGATGAGAGAGAAACATCAATCAGCTGCCTCCTGCACACTTCCTACTGGGGATGTGCCCGCAACCAAGGTACATGCCCTTGACGGGAATCGAACCTGAAACCTTTCAGTCCACAGGCCAGTGCTCTATCTACTGAGCCAAAACAGTCAGGGCCACATTTGTAATATCTTAATCAATAAAGGGAAAATAAATTTTTAAAAAATCTGTAAATAAAAAAAAAGGTATCATCAGGTGTCAGAGGGCCCCCTCAAGGACATCGTGGGCTATACTGAGGACCAGGTTGTCTGTCTCCTGCAACTTTAATAGTGACGCCCACACCTCCATCTTCAATGCTGGTGCTGGCAATGCCCTCAATGACCACTTTGTCAGATTTGTTTCCTGGTATGACAATGAATTTGGCTACAGCAACAGAATGGTGGACCTTATGGTCCACATGGCCTCCAAGCAGTAAGAGCCCCCTGGACCACCAGCCCCAGTGAAAGCAGAGAGGCCCTCAGCTGCTGGGGAGTCCTTGCCCCAAATCAATCCCCCAACACATTGAAAATTTGATCTCCACAGTTTCTATCCCAGACCCCCTGAAGAAAGGGAGGGGCTTAGGGAGCCCTACCTTGTCATGCATCAATAAAGTTCACTGTACTCAGCCAAAAGAGAGAGAGAGATTTCACGAATGAGTCTGAGCCCTATCCTGGTGGCTCAGTTGGTTGGAACATTGTCCTGTACACCAAAAGGTTTCAGGTTTGATCCCGTAAGGGCATGTATGGGAGGCACCCTATCCATGGTTCGTTCGTTCTCTCTCTCTCTCTCTCTCTCTCTCCCTCCCTCCCTCCTCCTCCTCCTTCCCCCTTCTCTCTCTCTCTAAAAATCAATGAAAACATATCCTCAGATGAGGATAAAAAAAGAGCCCCAGCCAATTTGGTTCAGTGGATAGAGTCGACCCGCAGACTGAAGGGTCCCAGGTTCAATTCCGGTCAAGGGCACATACCTTAGCTGCAGGCTCCATCCCTGACCCTGGTCAAGGTACATGTGGGAGGCAACCAATCCATGTGTCTCTCTCACATTGATGTTTCTTTCTCTCTATCTCTCCCCCTCCCTTCCACTCTCTAAAAATCAATGGCAAAATATCCTTGGGTGAGGATTAACAACAATAACAAAATGATTCTGAGATACTGGGTGAATAGTGGTACCACTGTTTGCAATAAGGAAGACTGAGAGGAACAGTGAAGAGCATGGAGTAGGGCATCAGAAGTCAATGATATCTTTGGGAGGCTCTTTAGACATCCAAATAGAGACATAAAATTGGCAGGTGGAGTTTGAGGAGAAGTGCAGGTTAAAGATGAACATTTGGGAGTCATAAGCATATATATGGTATTCAAAGCTTGGGAATGGTTGAGATCACTTAGGGAGTGAGTACAGATTGAGAACAGGTCAGAGGACTGAACCCCAGGGCCTCGCAAGGCCAAAGTCTGAGACAGAAAAAGGAACCAGACACTCAGAAGAGGAAAAAAAAAATCGAGATAGGAGGAAAATCAGGAGAGTGTAGAGTCTTGGAAGCAAATAAAGTGTTTCAAGAAGGATGGAGTGCTCAAATCTGTCAAATGCTGCTGAGATGGGGACTAAAATGACCGTTGACTGACCACTGGAACTGGTAATATGTTCATTTATTAACTTTGACAAATATGGTTTAGATGGTGAGGTGGGATGTCTGAAGTGAGGTCAAGTGGGAAGTGAGGTTGCAGAAACAGCCAATATAAGCAACTCTTTTTAGAAGTTTTGCTATTTTTAAAAAGCAAAGAAATGGGGTTATAGCTGGAGGAGAATGTTGGATCAAGGAAGGGTTCGATTTTCATTTTCACATAAGAGCTATTACTGCATCAGGCGGCCAAGTGAGAGAAGATACAGTGTATCTTTTTCTGAAGGAGTAATTAGTTTTCAGGGAGGTTTGGATGAAAACAAAAAACAGAAAAGCTGCCTTCCGGGGCGGGGATGTATAGGGAAGATTTTGATGCAGAGGGAAAGCCTACCAATCTTCAAGGAGACTTGGCTCCAGATCACAGCCATAAGAAAAATCACACTTGAGAACCGTAAGTTTTGCTCCTCACAGAGCCTCCACCTCCCCCCCCCCCCCCCCCCGCCGGGGGGGCGAGTTCCCCACTGCCCACCCAGCACCAGAACCATCTGGCCGCACAGACAGTAGTAGACATGGAGGGGCTTCTCGCCGTCGTCATATTCCTCCCGGTCCCGGGTGTCGGAGCAGACAACAGATCGGGACACAACTTTAGGCATAGTTCAGAAAAACCCTCAAACTCAACACCGAAAACAAGAGTCGCGCATAAATTACGTCAGAGACGCGCGCGCTGCGCCTTTCCCCTACAGTCATGCTAATCACGTGTCAGCAGTAGTCATGTGAACTTCCGGGCTGTCCCATTAGGCTAAGATGCTGGGGGGGGGTCGTCCAGAGCCGCTCAGAAGCTCCGTTTCCTTGCCTGTTAGCTGGGACTGCTTTGCTTGGGACACCCTTAATATTATTTAAATTATTTATTTATCTTTCTATACATGTATGTATATGCATATACATGCATATATAAAACGAAGGACTATATTTACACAATATGCATAATACAGATTTTAGGTGTGCCTCTATGATTTTTTCTTTGATTTTATTTTTTTTAATCTTTATTATTGAAAGTATCACATAGGTCCTCCTTTTCCCCCCATTAACCTCTTCTAGCCCGCTCCTGTCTGTGCCTCTATGATTTTAATGGCAATATTCAGGATGAGTACCTAATAAAGACTTTTTAAAGCTGAGATATAATTCACATAACATAAAATAACTCTCTTAAAATGTATAATTCAATAGTTTTTAAATATATTTACAAAGTTGTACAACCACCACTACTATCTAACTTCAGGAAATTTTCATCATCCCCAAAAGAAATCCTGTATGGTTAGCAGTCACTCCTCACCTCTTTTCCAGCCCTGGCAATCCCTAATTTACTTTCTGTCTATGAATTTGCCTCGTCTGCACGTTTCATATGAATTAAATAATACAATATGTGGTAGTTGGTGACTGGCTTCTTTCACTTAACATTTTCAAGGTCCATACATGTCGTGTGGATTAATAAAAAGTAGTAATGAATTAGTAAAAAGGAACTTCATTCCTTTTTATAGCTACATAGTATTTTCTTGTATGGATATAGTATATTCTGATTATTCATTCATCAGTTATGAATATTTGGGTGGTTTCTACTTTTTGGATATAATGACTAATGCTACTATGAACATTGGTGTACAAAGTTATTGTGAGGACATGTTTTTAGTTCTCTTTGGTGTATGATTAGGAGTGGATTTGCTGGATCATATGGTAACTTGATGTTTAACCTTCTGAGGAACTGCCAAGGGTGTTTTCCGAAGTGCCTTTACCATTCCCATCAGGAATGCAAGGGGGGAGGGGCTTCTGATTTCTTCACGTCCTCACCAATGATTATATTTGCCTATCTTTTTTATCATGGCTATCCTGGTGGGTGTGAAGTGGTATCTCACTGTGGTTTTGACTTCCCTTTCCCTGATGGCTAATGACATTGAGTACCTTTTTACATGTATTGGTCATTTATCGGAGAAATGTCTACTCAAATCTTTTGCCCATTTTTAATTGGGTTGTCATTTTATTGTTGAATTGTACGAATTGTTATATATTCTGGTTACTAGACCGTAACCATATAAATGATTTGCAAATAGAGGCATCTTAATGATCCTGTTTGCCACAGGTGTAAGCGAACACCTTCCACTATTTCTTTTCCCCAACCCAGAAACTCTCCCAGAATGCTTTTTGTGGAGGACAGATCCTAGAGCCATTCAGAATAAGGACATTGAAACAGTTTACATTTAATGGTAACTTGATGTTTAACCTTCTGAGGAACTGCCAAGAGTGTTTTCCAAAGTGCCTTCAATAATCAAAATGCTGACACCAAAATAATGGGTTTTTAACAGGGAACGTACTGAAGATAGCAGGAGTTTATGACTAGAAAACTGACAGGTTGGCTGGAAGAAGTGTACTGTTCAATATACACAAGATGTAAACCAATGGGAATTTAAAGTAATCTGCTAGCCCTCAAACAAACCCACGTTAAACAAAATATAAAAGAAATATCAATGCAAGTTTTAAAGAATCACAGTGTTTGCTCCTTGGTCTTAGTCCAATGTCATCCCTATAGTTCTATGTTATTTGGTATTTATTGATCTTCTACTATGTGTCAGGCACTGTGCTATATACTGGTTGTTTAGTGATCAATTACAAATAGTTTCACCCCCTCGTGTGGTTTTGTTTAGTGCAAGGGTGGCTAAACTTTTTTGTAAAAGGCTAGAGTAAATATTTTAGGCTTTGAGGGCCAAGAGGTAAAATCAAGAACATCATATAGGTATTTGTATAACAAGAGGGAGAACAAATTTCCACAAATATTTTATTGATGAAATTAAAAATATAATAATTGAGTATAAATTTTTGTAACACATGTCCATGAATGAGCAGACTGGCATTCTTTAATGGATGGGGATAACATTTCACTTACTTAGGGTTCAAACCGAGTGTTCCCTGTCATCAAAATTACCTGCAATCTCAATACATCTTTAAAGGTTTTTAAATTGTTTCATATGACCAAATTGACATTTTAAAAACCTCATTTTTACTTTGTAATAAAGTATATAACTTGATTTCTCAAAAGAATCAACAAGCTGTATGCACCTGTTAATAAAGGTATTAAATACTTTTTAAAAACATTTGAAATATTCATCTGTTAATGCTTATCTGTAATGAGAGTTTGTGTATTTCATCTTTGAAAAAATAGAACAAAAATAAATACTATCAAATACTGATATCCATCCACAAGCAATCAGTTTTAATTGATCATATTCATCTCTTAGAAGGCATTTTGAGAATGCAATTAGATTCTTATTTTAATATTTGCCTTTTAGCATGTCATTACATTGCAGAGTAATTACCTTCAATTGAAAATTAGGTGGAAGCTCCTCAAATGCACAAATTAATTTTAAAATATAGAAATTTCCTTTGCACTTTGCATCAAGGTTTGAAAAATGCCACTGTAACTGTAATTTGAGCTCAGAAAATATATCCACTGCAAATTTGTGTGGGAATACAAATCTTGATTTTTGTTTTAACTTTTTACAGCACAGGAAGTGATTAAAATAACGACATTACTTTTGATTCAAACAATGTTAGTTGTCATTGAAATGAATTTACTGCAGTATAATTTTCACATATAAGCAGTGGTTTGCCTTGTAATTTTAGGTTAAATTCATTAAGTAACATTATCAAGTCTAGAGTAAAAGCTAATTTCAAAAAACATTCAGTATTCAATAACAGTGGTTGTGAATCTTCTCATCCAGAAAATGTTCAATCTCAGCCCTGAGCTTTTAAATAACTTTTTATAAAACCACTGCTAAGCTAATAAACTGCAGTTAGTAGGGCAAATAAGAATATTCAGCTTCTATTTCTGACAAAAAAATTCATGAAACTGACAATGGTTTAGTTCATGAGAGTGAATGAAGTACGTTGTTGACACTAAGGGTTGAATAACACAAGAGAGATCCAAATATTTTCCTGCAAAGTACCTGCTGTTTAATAATAAAATGAATAATCATGGGATTTAAACAACTTACATTTTCTCAAGCTTTGTTCATTTGTCCAACTAAGCTGTTTTCTGCTCTGTACATATTTGTAATGCACATTAGCAGATTCTACTTCAGGTTGTATTGAATCAGGGTTTTCTTGATTTCTTTGGAAATATTCTCATTGGTAGTTGTTCCACACAAACAACCCATACAGGTCAATCCTTCCATCACTTTAAACTCAGCATTGACTTTTGAGTAAACAACTGAACAGTATTGGAAACATCTGTGAACTCAAGAGTCAAGGAAAACCACTTGAAATCATTTGCCCTGTTTATTTATTTATATTGATTTAAGGGGGGAGAAGGACAGAAAGAGAGAGAGAGATTCGTTGTTCCACTAATTTATTAATTCATTGGTTGAGTTTTGTATGTGCCCTGACTGGGGATTGAACCCACAAACTTGGTATATCAGGCTGACGCTCTAACCAAGTAAGCTAAACTGTCCAGGGCTGCCCTGTTTTTTGTTTTTTTGTTTTTTAAATGACTATTGATGTTGCTTCCAATGTCCTTCAGTCTTTGAGCCACTGTTCTCGTTGAAAGGTTAATAGTCTTTAAAATGTTTATTTTCCCTGGACACATTATTTGGCTTCTGCAATCAAACACAATTTAATTAACTGATAATCAGTAAATGGCCTTCCTTCCTTGGCTAACAAATGAGCCACTCAGAAACTCACTTTGGCCAAAGCCACATTTCATCTTTTATTTTTGTGAAGAATTCTGCTTTGATAACATGTTCCATTTTAAACTTTCTAATTTTTCTAACCATTGCTTTCCTGTGAGCTGGGAACATTGCAATAAGTGCTTAGTTTAGTAATGTTCATGTATATTATATTCTTTTAGCAACACTACAGTATCACTGTGTAATAAACAGTGCTTTGACATCTAATAGATAACCAAGTAGTCTACACTTAAAAGGCTGATATTCAGCCCAACAGTGTGGCTCAGTGGCTGAGTGTCAACTTATGAACCAGGAGGTCACAGTTGGCTTCCTGATCAGGGCACATGCCCTGGTTGCAGGCTCAATCCCCAGTAGGGGGTGTTCATGAAACAGCTGATCAATGATTCTCTCCCATTATTGATGTTTCTATTTCTCCCTCTCCCTTCCTCTCTGAAATCAATAAAAATATTTTTTAAAAGCATGGCATTAAAATTCCACTTTTATTTTCTTGTTTTGACATGATAAATATACACTTTTAATTTTAAAAATGCCACAATCTGGTGATATTTCTTCAAGATGTAGAGGTGATATGAACCAGGAGGTCAGGGTTCTATTCCCAGTCAGGGCACATGCCCAGGTTATGGGCTCGATCCCCAGTAGGGGATGTGCAAGAGGCAGCCAATCAATGATTCTTTCTCATCATTGATGTTTCTATATCTCTCTCCCTCTCCCTTCCTCTCTGAAGTCAATAAAAATATTTGGCCAACAGTTTGTGGTAATTTGTTCAACAGCAGTAGAGAATGAATGCATTTGCTTTGGTACATCATGCTTTTGTTGATTTCATATGTCTTAGTCCATGTTTCTAGATGAGAGGAAAAGGTTTTTAAAATTTATTTTTGTCCCCCTTCACACCATAGCCATAATGTGAAGTTACTGGGGACACTTGCCTTAACTGATATTTTGGAGTTAATGGGAGATATAAATCCTTGGCATGAAGGTACCTGTTGTTAA